CCGGTTCAAGACACGCAGGTCCAAGATTGGTCGTAACCCACCGCCTTTCTTGGATACAATGAAGTAGGAGCTGTAAAACCCCGTCTTCATATCGGATGGAGGGACCGGCTCTATCGCATCCTTCGCCAGTAGGACTGCAATCTCCGCATGCAAGACAGGAGCATCGGCCGCCTTCATTGACGTGAAGCGGATGCCGCTGAACTTGGGGGGACGTCGGGCAAACTGAATCGCATAACCGAGTCTGATGGTCCGCAGGAGCCAGCGGGATCTGCTGGTACGCTCCTTGTAGAGGGCCCAACACATTCTTTTGGCAGCTCAACTGGTTGTGGAGTGCAAGAGGAGCGATGGTCCCCCGAGGGTTAGTTCCCTGGAGGGTTTGCCATCACTGTTACCCTCAGACCACCCGTCAGACCACTGTTACACACAGACCACCTGAAGTAGCCCCCGCCTGACTGCCGCCATGATGAGAACTAGATCGTGGCAGAGGCAACGGAGCTCCGCCCCTTTTGAGGTAACGGAGCTTGGCCCGCAACTCCGAGATGGTCATCTTCCTGCAATGAGAACATGACTCCTCAACACGCCACCTCAGCATGCTTAATGCCCAGACATGTGAGGCAGCGATCGTGACCATCACCCGACACCAAGTAACGACCACATCCAGAAACGCACGGGTGATACATTGTCTGTAGCAAGACGCAACGTCGTCTTTACAAAGACACAATGTCGAGTTTGCCAGACGCAATGTCGTCTTTAAAAAGACACAACGTCGACTTTAAAAAGACGCACACGTGAATGCTCTTTTAGGGAAAAACTCTTTCAGTATGCTGAAGCACACAGGGGAGATGGCCGCCTGCAACACAAACAGGGGGTAGTGCAGCCTGATGTGTGCAACCCACTCGACACGGGAAAACACCACCGCTGAAGTGCCGTACCGCCAACACCAAGAGCTCCAAAGAGCGTGCTGAACTCACTAAGTCTTATTCTCTCTGTAGAGTAGTCAGGAGCAAAATGGTGTGATCGCTCGGCTCCGAAGCAAAAAGCTGAGTATGCATTGCACCTACTGCCTAGTTATACTCGCGCTGCGATCAGCGGCAGCTGGATGCAATCATTGCATGCCAATGTGCATTGGCTCGTTTAGTTTACACTCAAAGTGGATTGGTCTCTCTAAGTGAGATCCCAATTTGTCAGTCATTACCGATGTGACGTCGAGAGTGACCGACTGAAAGGGAACAAATTCATCTGCATCTTGGATGGCCTGAGGGTTAAAAAAAAGTGAGCAAATTTTCATTTTTTGGGGGGGGTGAACTATTTCTTTCAGACTTCTATGCCTGTATGCAAATTACCTCTGCTGTGATTGCCTAAACTCTGTATACTGATTTTTCAGTTTTGAGTTCTGAAATCAACAGAACATTGAACTCAGAAAGAGAAACACACTCTTTCCCATGTGAAAAATTAAAACATAGTGTGACTATAACAATACCGTCAGCTAATTTAACATTTGTAGAGTAACTGCAACCATAAATTAAATTTCATTCAGTGATTCCTGAAATCAAGTCAGTCCCAAAACACTATTTTAAATAAGCATGTAATGTGCTCACAACAGGAATAATTATACGCTATAAATCAGTGAACACGAGGCCTCAGACCGTATCATGCAACGTTCAGAAGGAGAAAGGAAATCTAATACAGCATGGCTTTCCACCATTAAAAAGCAATTTAAACTCAGCTAGGGGTCAGAAAAGGACTACAAATGCAAAAGCCTAATTCAATTTATATACCTTGGCATTAATAATAACATTTTCCCCTAGTTGAGCAACAAAAACACATGCAATACAATTGCATTGGAATAAATGTCAGTGTAATTCATTCATAAATCCAGTTCTTCTAAAGTGTCTGAGTAAAATGAATGCATCAATTATATACATACATTATAACAGCACTAACCCAAACCATAACAGACAGAGGAGAGTGACTGAAGGAGCTGAGGTCAAGGAGGTCAACCAGACGGAGAGAAGGACAACCAGAGGAATGAAAGCAAATCTCTGCATGGGGAATCAATAAGAGAGTCCAAAGAGATTGAATTTCTTTCAGCCAATTAAACAGATAAACAAACATTCAAATTTCTTTCAGTTTGAAGGCTTTTTATAAATTGTGTGCCCTATTTAAAGGCACTTAATCAATCAAAACAGACGTTTTATGGATCACAGGAGCACTTTGTCACCAGCTCTCAGGAGACGAGAGAAGATCAAATGCAGCAGCATTCCTCTGATGCAATCTCTCTCTCTCTCGCTCTCTCTCTCTCTCACACACACACACACACACACACACACACACACACACACACACACACACACACACACGCACACACGTATAAAGTAAGATGGAAAAGATGCCCACCTTAAGAAGAATGTGCATTTATTAAAAAAAATAAAAAAAATCATATTTAGCATGTACAGAATGATGATCCATCAGACAATGTGTTATTATGGGAAATAAATAGAAACATTTCGTTTTAAAACTCATCAATGAGGCCATCTAACCCCACTACTGAAAAATAATATTTGGGTAAAATAATATATTGAAATTGTATTTTTTATTACATATGACTTATTTTTTACAACTATTAAAAAAAAAAAACTGGTTAATATTAACCAGTAGCCAGTTCTCCACACTCACAACACATTGCAAAGTTTATCACAAAAAAATAAATAAATAAATAATAATAATAATAATAAATTAATTATTAATTAATTAATAAATATATATAAACACTTTATTATTATTATTTTAAACAATATTCCCAAAGAAACATGCTTTGTTTCATATCGTATAATATATTATTCAGTATAAGACGCCATAAATGACTGGGACATGAAAATATACTGCCTAGTAGGAATGACCCAGATTCAGTCAGCATCTGACATTAAAGTCATCAAAGAGTTTGTTTATCAGTCATTCATTGCTGACTTTTTCCTGTTCTTTTAATTAAATTACAGGACAAACTTTCTAAATAGCACTCTAAAGGTTTGAGTAGTGAATGCTGCAGCGAGTGAGTAAACTTTAAACTAGCATCTCGCTCAGACAAACACTAATGTTCAGCGTGAATCCCAACAGCTGACCTCATTCAAATACAGCTGCGCTTAGTTTATTCACAAGTGTTTTTAATATTGATGTACAACAAGCCAAAGCACTGATTAGCTCAAACACAAACGAGACAGTACATCTGCATTAAAGCTAATACTGAACTGGAGTCAGTGGAAGCATGTTGACGGCGCATCAGAGGAGCATGTTTTGATGGCTGTTTGACTGTGGCGCTCTGTGTGAATGGAGAATTCATTCTCATTTGAGTTCTGATATTAGCTTGCACGGCGAACAATGTGATGCTGAGCTTTTAAATATGAAACAACATGCTCAAGAAGTGCTGTGGGAGAGAGTTGGAGGGAGAAGTTTGGGTCACGGCAGATGTTTCCTCAAACATACTGATGCAAAGAAACTCCTGAGCATATGTGCACACCCACACACACACATGCATATACAACTTCACATTTGTATTTATGCATTTGGCAGATGCTTTTATTCAAAGCGACTTATACTGCATTGAAGTTATGCATTTTATCAATTCATGCAGTCCCTGGGAATCAAACCCATGACATAAAGTCATGCTACACAAATGCACATTGTACAGTAAACAACATACAGAGATGGAGTTTGTGTGGAGCAGAATTTACTGTAAACCAAGTCACTCTGAGACACGGTGAACATAGAAACACAATCACTGCATCCAAATAATCCTACTATCATACTATACAGCAGGCGAAAAACAATAAGGCAAAAGAGCAGCATTCATAGTATTCGAAAAAAAAGAGTGTGAAAAGTACCCAGATGACCTACTACATCTGGCACGATTCTGAAGTGTGAATCTGATTGCCATTTTACTATCCCATGAGGATTTATTAATGGCAGTGGAGCGATGTAACTGACGCTGGTAGGTCGCATTACAGTAACAACAGGGTGGATATAGTACATCTAGATTTCATTCATACCCATATTCGTACTTACTATATTAACTTACTTTTTTAATGGTCAGGAAGTAGGTTTCAAAGCAAATGTAATATCTACAAGATAGCATGCGATTTTGGACACAGCCAATGTGCATCAAAAAACATTACTTGTGATTATTTTGTCATAAACTGCGACAGCAATTTGAACTAAACATTGTGTCTCTGCTGCCGAAACATCCAGGCAAAAATAATAAACAGTCCACAGTCCAACTGAAATAGTTGCCTTTAAGGGTGTTCACACTTGGGTTCAATCTTTACAAGAACCAACTAAGATTCAAACCAAATCAAGCACCTACTAGACAGTGTGCATTTCAGACTTAAATGAACACAGTGCTGTGCTTCACTCTGAAACCGCACCAGACTAAATCACGGCCTTTCTAAATCAAGCATATTGCAATTCCAATTTTACAATTTCCACAACTCTATTTATTTAATTTAACTTAACATTTTGTTTTTTTTTTATGAATAGCCTTTCATCAGCTCACCAACTCTATTTCCCTATTTTGCAACCAGAATGCAAATTTTAATTTGCAATATCCATAGACATATTGATTACCCCCTCTTATTAGGATTAAACTTTAATGTTTAACCTGGTGCCATGGTAACTTATTTCAAATTTTTGGAAGATTCCAACATTCCAAAACGAATTCCATATTCATGAGAAAAATAGAACTAATCCTTTTTAAACCACAATCGTGTTCCATTCACATGGTAACATGAGAAAAACCTCACAAAAAAACAGTTTAATACCATAGTACATTCTAGTTAATGTGTAAAACATGGCATTTTCATCGATAACACAGAAGTGGCGCCACCTACCGTGGTTGTTTTTGTTGTGCACCGGTGTGTAGTGGTTCTTGGATGTCCGTACAGGTGTGTTCTCTTTGGGCGAGGTGTCTATAGCCGCGATGTTTTCATGCTCATACTGTGATATGGGAATGGGCCCCTGCTGTCTCAAAATGTCCGCCAGCGCTCTGCGGGAAAAAAAAAAAGTCGAAGATCATTTCACTGCTCTCCAAAAAGAAAAAAAAAACACCATCCAAATTCGGCTCAGCTTTGAAATGAATCCTTGTTTAGTGTTTCGTCCAGTTTAAAGATACAAACACACCGGCCCCCAAGAGGTTTAGCCAATTTGCCCCGTTTAGGTGATTGTTTCTGTTGTTTTTCCATTTGTGGAGGTTCTTGCCTCTCGCAACCAGCAATCCTTTTCTCTCTTTCACACACATACACAACTTTAATTGCGTTTTGTCTTATAATGAACAGTGGAGGTTTAATCTCTCAGGTTTTCGGGACCTCAGGCCTGCAAACTCTACAGCAGCAAACAAAAGCCATTAATCAATGTTTCTCCGCAATATGGCGTTAGAGCAACACACCCCACCCACACCAGTCTAATGGGATTCAAATTCTATTAATGTTTTTGCTCTTTGGCCCGAAGGACATGCTTTCTGACTCGAGACCCAACTGCCTCATGGATTTTCTGCGCAGCAGCAATCTGAGATTCTGCTGGCTGGAGTTAATGGTGTTTTCCCACTAATGCAGTTTTCGGAGCTTGTGCAGTTATATGGGGCTTCATCTTGAGGGCAAACTTTTTTCATTCCAGATGAACTTTGTAACTTTGGGATAGTGTTGGCTAAGTGCTTAAAAAATAAAAATTGGTGACCAAAAAAGTTGGTGGCCAAAAGGATGAATAAGTAAATGTGTGAATGAGATCTGAAAGCTGTAAAATGATAATAATTTTAATGGTAAAGACTGCAAAAATGCTATGGTTCCCTAACTATAAAAATATATATAAAAAAATAATGTAATTTTACAGCAAAATACTGTTAAATTTACAGCTTTTGTAAGTGAAAAAGTCATCTTATAAATTACAGTGAACAACCATAAAACTGATATTGCCAGAATGGGACCTTAACATTTTTACTGCAGATGAACTTTAAACTTTGGTATTGTGTTGCCTTAGTGGGTAAAAATCATATTTGTTGAATGAAATAGGTGACAAACGTGAATAAGTACATGTGAATTATATCTGAGAGCTGTTTAAAAAAAATGATAACAGTCAAATAGTGTAAAGTGAAAACTGTAATAAGTCTAATGGGACTTTTCATGTAATTTCACAGTAAATTACTTTAATGTTATAAAATTATTTTAAGTTACAGTTTTTATTAGCGAAAAAGAACAAGTCATCTTAAAATGTACAGCCAAAATAAATAAAATAAAAATTTCCTAGTGGTCACAAACCAAAAATTTGCAGGTTTCATATTTATATTTTCACATATTCAATTTTAGTATGTGAAGATACACTAGGTTTGACAAAGTTTTACAGGGGGACGTTTGAGAAATTTGTGTTTCACAGACGTACATTGAGATTTTAATCCAGTGCAAATCTGACAAGTCTTAATTTTAACAGTAAAAAACTGTAAAAAGACTGTAAATTAATACATTTACGGTAAATTTCCTAACTATACATGGTGAAGAACTGTAATATAACTAATAGGGCATTTCATGTAATTTTACAGTAAAATACTGTTAAATTAAAAAAAAAATACTTTAAACAGTTTTATTATTTGTTCATTTATGTATGTGTTTATTTATTACAAATAATAAATTAAAAACAAATCAATGAACTTTTTTACTGTTTGTCTGTATAGTTTGTATTCATGTTTATTTCAGTTTTAGTTGTAGTTATTTTAGTACATTACTTGGCAACTAGCAGAAATTGTATTTGATTTTGCATTATTTCAAGTAATGATTTTTTTTGTTTTAATTTTAGTTTCAATTTTAATTAACTACAATAACTCTGCTTCATAAGACTCGGAGTTTAGTGCACAAGTCATTGCAACAACTGTGATGCCTATTAGAACCAGATGATGTGCCATAAACATGAATAAACATTTTCAAGTAAAGTCCAATAAGTAGAAAGTGCATCTCTGGGAAAACCGTAAGGTCGAGGCAAGGTGCTTACTGGTGTAAAAGTCCATCAAAGGAAACTTTAGGATGACCATGGCATGGCACTCTTTCAGATTAAAAAAAAAAAATATATATATATATATATTATCCAAACAATCTAAAAGCAATTTTTTTGGGGGGGGGGTGGTGTAGCCATCAAAGGCTTTTTAATCTGAATGAGTGCCATGGTCATCCTAAAGATTCCTTTGATGAATAAACATTTATTCAGAAGCAGAAAAAAGGTTGAACCAGGTCGGACCGTCAGTTCTTACGGCGCATGTCAATGCGGCGGGATCCAGCAGACCCGGAGGCCATCTCTCCTTACATGAGGAGCCTGATATGGCGTCTTAACTGTGTCAATGTCAGCGTATTTGCTCTGCCTCGCGGTCCCCATCTCTGAGCGCGCCACAGAGACAGATAGAAAGAAAGAGAGAGAGAAAGATAGTGTGACTTTGGAAGGAAGTATAATTAGTCTTTCCCTTCCAGGAGAAGGCCTTTTTTAACAGAAGTTCTCCTCACGTGGGGGCGACCTGGTTTCACTGCCCCAGTTGGCTGTAAGGCTCTGAGCGCAGCTCTACCGATCCACCTTCTTCAGCTCAAACACCACAGGACCAGGGCCTAGCTACATTAAACTACTTGAATGGGCTCTTTTACTGTAGTTTTTACACATCACGTTCGCTCATTTAGAGATTTCGAACAGTTTCACTTTATGCATCCCATCACAGGTAAGAGTTTTACCAGCTAACCAGCATACTGAAGAATAAAACAATGCTTCAGGTTCAATAACTAATGATGTTAAGCTTGATAGCATTAGCTATGTTAATAACCACAAAACATTTTTTTCGACTCATCCGTCAGTTGAAATCAATCAATTAAATAAAAATCATTGTGGTTACAGTAACATACTAATAGTGAAAGTATACTGTTATAATAGTGTGAAATAATCATGCAACAGTCTTTTCTGTGTTAAGTTGTATTCAGTCTTTCAGCTTCAATGTCATGAGCCATGAAAAACTGTAACTTTCATGACCCGCACAAACTAAAAAGATGATTTTAAAAACTTTACAGATCAACAACAACAAAAATTGTCATTAAATAATCATGATAAATGCTTTAAAAAAACTATGAGCTTCAACATTTCTGTTTTTAAACCCTCATGAATATGTGGGATTTTTTTTTTTTTAAATGATTGTGATTTTAATGGTAAAATACTGTAAAAATGCTACAGTAAAAATGAGTTTAAAAGTAAAAGTTTCCTTTCTTTAACAAACTGTAACAGATCTAATGGGACATTTCAAAATACTGTTAAATTTAAATTTTTTTTTTTTACATTGGGGGAAAAAATTAATTGTAGTAAAATTTTAAAATTTACATTTCCAGAATTTTTCACTGTGGATGAACTTTGTCACTTAGAGATAGTGTTATTTAGTGGTTAAGGATCAAAGATTTTCACAATTTTACAGATAAAAAAAAATTGATTTTTGTCACAAAATAATCACGATAAATGCTTTTAAACAATATGAGCTTCACATTTCTGTGCATGGCATTGTTTACATTTTAAGAGCCTTACTGCAACTGTGATTTGTTTTTAAATAAATTAGCAAATATAAATAAATAAATGCATTTTTATTAATTTAATTATTAAATTCATTATTTGATATTTTAATTATTATATCAACAATTTATTAAAAATTAAATTAAGTTAAATAAATGTTATTTTATTCATTTAATAATTTGTTTTGTGGTTATTTATTATAGCTACAAATAACAAATAATGACAATAATAATAATAATAATAAATCATATTTCACACACAAACACACACACACACACAAACAAACACACACACACACCGCTCTCAAATTGATAGATGAATAGGATAAATGCATTGTGCATGTGTAAACGCCACACATACAACCTTCTCTGTCTCTGCAGATCCTCATCAAAAGTCCTTCAGTGTCTGGTGTTAATATATGCAAGACGATGCTAACGGTAATTTGGGCCTAAGTGCTATCCTGTTTGCTCTAAAGACACATCTAGACATCAGTGTGAGTTAATTACATCCTCACAAACTGATGTAGCCTCTTGGGATGGATGAGCACCGATTCCCAACAAATCAAGGCCAATTTCCCTCATTCCAGCACCTGAATTGGGTTGAATGGTGAAACATATGGCGGCTTTAGAGACCTGATGTCGCTACAGCTCGAATTAGACATACTGTCTTCACTCATTCAAACTCTGGTTACATGTTTAAAATGCATGTCAAATGACCAGTGATTAAGGTAATGATGCATTCACATTAAAAACAATTACGTTTGGCACCAGACCTGCCAACGGCAAGTGAATTTATCACACGAGGATGTTGTGATCCGACAAGACTCATGTTCCTGATTATGTCACCACCATGAATCAAATAGATGACATTATAATCAAAGAAACTTCTCAATATTTTACATCACTGTAAAAGAGAGAACGTAGTTGAAAGAGATACAGGCTGTCTGATGAATCAACATATATGAGATGAAGATGAAGAGAAAAAGTCTTGGAGCAAGTAATCCGAAAATTAAATGAAGTGAAATTTAAGTGGGTGAATCTCAGTGCTCAGCTCATACTTCACTCCAGAACTAGAAATAAATTATATTTTGCATAAATAAAAATTAGGTTTGTTTCTAGATTCTTGATTATTTTCAAGACAATTAAGCACATTTTCCTCAAATAAAAATCAACCTGTTTGGACACTATATTTTTAAAGAAAAGAAAAGTCTACCATGACATTAAACAATTTACATTATAAATAATTTCAATTATATTAATTAATTAATTTTTTTGAGGGGAGAAAAGTAGAGAATAGGACGGGAAATTTACCTATTCTCCTAAAAATAACAGTACAAAAATGGCTTAAATGAACAAACATACAAATAAATGGCTTTAATTTATTTGAGTAAAATAAATAAATTAGATTTAGGGGTAAATATGACAGCGACATTGTAAAATTTATCAAAATAAAGCTTAAAAATACAATTATGTA